TATATATATATATATATATATATATATATATATATATATATTTGTATATAAATATATATATGTGTATGCGTGTAGTATACCAATCTTACGGAAAAAAGGTAGGCATCTTCGCCGCCGGAGGAATTCAGTCAACATCGCTTTAGTATAAGTATATATGAACACCCTCAGGCCAAACATACAAATACATGCACTCTTTCAGAACGTTTCTTCATGGTTTCCCCATGTGCCGAACCATGATGTTTGTGCGCGGCAGTGTGACTGATATATGTGTAGTCGACATCAGTATACCTGAGTGAACGTAGAACTACTTTAGAGAGCCTGTCTGTGAAGAGAAGAGATTGCTGGTTGGTCTAAAGGCTCAGACCCCATCAGTGTCAGCGAATGTACAACGCTAAGGAGAAGCATGTGCCATGTTAGATTCAACTATGACTAAAGGGTGCACATATCCGGTTCACTCTACGACTGTACCCACACGCATGTGTGCGGGTCGGAAATTACATCAGGGACGTGCCCGTTACAGTGCTATAAATTGACCCATTGCGATGAGTTCTGTACGACAGTGCAACAGTACAGTACGGCATTGCGACAGTACGACGTCACACTCACTACACTACACTACACCACACTGCGCCTGTAGTGTGATTGCGCATGCGGCACGGTACACGATCACATAAGCACAACACTTTATGTACGATGCTCTACATAGTTATCAAACGGGATGTGGGTAGTGCGAGACTTTACTCAACTGTAACTTGTTGGGGTGGCACCATGGTACTATTACACTACGCTATACGAGACACATACAGATGGGTGGTGGGTGGTATGGTGCCCTACATAGTTACTATGCGGGATGAGGCATTCCTTCCGCATCTGCGCCGCAACGGACATGAACATATAGTTGAAACCACAGTGGCGTAGTGAATTACGATAATAAAACTAAATGAAAGGCAATTCGCATGTACATATCTGTAGACGCCGGATGGATATGGGTACTTGGTAACAAATGCTATATGCGTATGCCACGATTGAATATTATGTGGATGATTAAACATGTGTGTATATTATATATAAAAATACGTGTATTATATATATGTGTGTGTATGTTATGATTGAATACTATACGTATATGTGGATAATTCTCTGGGTACGTTTGAATAACTGCAAGTATATGCACATGGAACATTTATGTATTTATGAAATGAATATGTGCATGTATGCTCATAAACCTTTATGTCCATGTATGTACATAAAAACTTGTGCGTATGGAAGTGTATATCTCATGCACACGGACGTCTCACACCAAACAATTCTGTATCGCTCGCCCCGCAAACGCGTCCGCCATGCCAATTGCATTTGACCATAAATTCACGGGGTTACTACTGTCGCTTACCAATGAACAAATAGCTTTAATATTATACGCTTGAATATATATTGTATGTGCCCATAGCAAACCAATGGACTGATTCCGATGAGTTTAATTTGGGAACAAGTACACTGTCCCGATTGAGCCTGGTTCGGTTTATGGTTACCATGGCAACGGCTCTTAACTGGCATATGCCCTCTGTCTCTACCTGATCTACATTTTGTCCCCCTCGCTCCTCTATTTGCTCTGCAGCTACCTGCTTTGTGTCGGTTTGTCGTCTACTTACAATCCGTCTACCTGCTCTGTGTCATCTCCCTCGTCTACATCCACTCCGTCCACCTGCTCTGTGTCATCTCCCTCGTCTACATCCACTCCGTCCACCTGCTCTGTGTCATCTCCCTCCTCTACATCCACTCCGTCTACCTGCTCTGTGTCATCTCCCTCGTCTACATCCACCTGCTCTGTGTCATCTCCCTCGTCTACATCCACTCCGTCTACCTGTTCTGTGTCATCTCCTTCATTTGCCTGCTCTTCGTCTGCCTGCTGTGTGTCCTCTCCCTCGTCTACCTCTAATCCGTCCACCTGCTCTGGATTTTCTCCCTCGTCTACATCCACTCCGTCCACCTGCTCTGCGTCTCCCTCGACATCCACGCCGTCCACCTGCTCTCCGGCTATCACACCTGTCTCCTGCTCTGCGTCTACCTCCGATTCCTCCGACATAAGTACAGTATCAATAATGTGCAGCACTCCGTTGCATGTGACAAGATCACGCGTGACAATGCTAGCTCCGTTGATTGTGATTTCGTCATCCTCTAAGGCCACAGTTACGTTCTGACCGTTTAGCACTTCGACGCAGAGAGTGACGGCAGAAAGGGTGGTTAGATGGATGTACACGCGTATATGCACGTGATCGGTGGGATGGGGAATGTATATTGTAGGTATATTGTGTGTGTGTGTATGCGTTCAAAGGCCAGGCTATTAACGTGCGAGCCTTCATACACTTATGCATTCAACACTGATCTATTCAAATACTCGCAAGTAGCTTTTGCAGGCATTCACGTCCGTGGACTCACATATGCGCACCACCCGTCATTCACTCGCATGTCTACACACATGCACAACGTTTCAGCTAGCACAAACTAACAACATGTATCAACATATGCACATGTTAGTGTGAGCCAAGGCACCGGCCCTCTATAACCACACTCGAGTAACAAGCGGACAGGACCTCGTCACACATATGCAATTCCTGGGCTGGGTTCTGGATCGGCATGTCGAGAGGGGGCATACAACACATATTAGGACAGTAACGCACACTAACACTTGATACACACGATCGCTCAAACCAACACCATACTACTCTGCAGCAGTACCCAACGCCACACCACTACATTATAGCTTGGCATACCTGGAAGCACCACATCCCCGCTTCCAGCAGATTGCATCGCAGCCAGCACTTCGTCGTACAAGCCCACACCCTTGGCCACGTGGTATAGCAGCGCGTCAACAAGGTCCTCCGCACCCTCAGCGGACATCAAGTACTCGAGTGTCTCGTCCGAGAGTTCTCCGAAAGCCGCGTCTGTGGGTGCGAACATGGTGTACTTGACTCCAGGCTCGAGGGCGGTGAGTTGCGAGGTGAGGTTTGCTGTTGTTACAGCCAACTTAAGCGTAGAGAGTGAGGGAAGGTCCAGAAAGTCTGCAAGTGTGTTGCATGTCTTGCCACCTTCTTCCTCCTCCACTTCTTCTTCGGCATTGGACTCGGAGACCTGTTGGGCATAGTTTATGGGGCAAAACGTTCAATGGTACAGTCAGGGCGAGGAATATGCGGACAGGGCCAAAGTAAAGCGTGTATATGCTCCCAGCACCAGGCTAGCTTACAGGTACGTATGTGCAACGAGAAAACGTCTAAGCTCTCAGCAGCTTCACTAACCTCTTCAGTGTCATCCGCTTCGGCCGATGCCGAGGGTTCCATAGACTCACTCTCCTCCTCCATTCGTTCTGGAGGGGTGAGAACAGAGTCAATGATATGCACTACGCCGTTGCACGCCGAGATATCTGCCTGGACAATGTGGGCGTCGTCGTTGATGGTGACGGTACGGTTATCGGCGACGGCGACTGTGATGTTCTGGCCGTTCAACACTACAGAGAGAGAGGGGAGGGTGTGTGTGTGGTAGGAAGAACAGATGAGAACGAGTAAAATGAATGCATACGAGCACCTCCCATGTACAATGTGCATACGTGTATCGCATGCCCTGTGGACCACTGTACAGGCTCAGTGACGTGAGCACGCAGATATGGTCCCCGATGATTCTGAACCAAAAGAAACAAAGATTCAATAATACACATACAACTTCCCTGGAATTTCCAGTAAGGAGAAATATATTATGCACTACCACGCTAACAATTGACAGCACTGGAGTATGGAAATGCACCCGAACTTACTTTCGGCGGTGGAGTTCTTTACATCAAAACTCAGATCCACGCCCTGCAGCGTGTGGTATAGCAACAGGTCAAGCAGATCCTCAGCTCCTTCGGGAGATACCAGGAACTCTACTGTCCCCTCAGGTGTATTGTTGAAGGCGGTGTCAGTAGGCGCGAACACTGTGTATTGGACCCCTGGCTCGATGGCATCTAGCACATTTGTGAGGTTGGCAGCTTCCACTGCCGCTTTGAGGGTACTAAGGGTGGGCTCGTCCAAGAGTTGAGCTATAGTCAAACACGGTATATCATCGGAGACCTAGGTAGTGGTAGCAAAAGATCATGTCATTGAATGTCAGCATGGTTACAAACTTGTTCCGCGATACTGGATAACCAAAAAATGATCAGAATAAAGAAACACTCTCAGCTCACTTTCCCACATATGAAATTGCTGGTGAATGTATGTATACACACACATTGCCAGTACCATTTAAATCAGAGAACACACGAATGTGAGAACCTGAAGTCAGAACCACTACGAAATCGAAATCTTTGATCGAAATTATACGATGCATATACTCTTGAGAGCCAGGCACAGAAAAAAGCACACCACTTCGGATATCACATATGCTTGGTAGCAAGCACGAATATGCCCAGTATTTAAGCCACATATATCATAATATAGAGGTAATAGCTAATGTACATATGGGCAACGCTGTGGAAGTGCGATATCTAAATAATGTCACTGACATTATAGTGGAATGGCGTCAGAATGGATCGTATCCGATGACTTTATTTTCAAATGTCAAAAGTACATCGGAGGAGGCACATGTAATACATATTTAGCAAAAGAAAGGATCGATCAAATAGCATCGGGATGAGATATATACACGAGCGTTATGCACAAGGAAACCCAAATAACATTGCCCCTTTCTTTCTGCCTGTTTAAGCACATACGTGCAAGTAGACATACACCAGTATCGCCAACAAACACGAATAGTAAGACAAAAGCATATACTTTAAAAATTTAATTAAAACAATAAGTATTTTAAAATCTACATTAACTACAAAGTACACTACTTCAAATTGAAACAATACATAGATTACTTAAGGTGCGAAGTAGGAAGCTACTAAACATACATTTGCAATTTCGTCAATCCCGGCTTCAACTGCACTTTCTGTGGATTCAGGAACATCGGTGTCCGCTATGCTCTCCGTTTGTGCGAATACATTCTGGGCTACAGAGAGCACTAGGCACGCGCATGCGGTTGAGATGAGCTTCATCCTTTGCGGTTATAAATTTCAACTGAGAGTGATGGTTAATGTTGATGTACAGTATGTAAATGCTTCATACAGTAGTAGTTCAATGTATTTATCCGACTGCTGCAGTTGTATTGCGATTTGTATTATTTTAGTGCACTCTTGACTACAGAGCCTAACCGAATTTAAAAAACCCGTTTCATTGTTCGCATGTGCTTCCGTATTATTTTAAGTCTCCTTTTTATAATATTTACATGTGCATTGCTTTTCCTAATACATATTTGACTACATATTTGTACTTTAGAATGCGAGCATGGCAGTGGGGAATAGGTCATTGGGCCTATAGAGTCATAGGCTCAGTTAGATACGGGTGTTTACTGTTTCACTGTTTTTAAACTTTTTATGTAGATATCAGTCATATCATTATTATCACATCTCTCGATCGAGATAAACCGAAACTCAAATTTCATTATTTTGACTCTCTCTACTAGTAGAATGGAGTTAAATGACTAGTTGTCGGCTTCGGACAAACGTTCTCAACTACTCTCGCTGGTATTTTTTAAAGTTGTTTTTTTAAGTGTATTTTTTTAAAATTTTATTCCAGTCTGAACTCTGCAGGGAATAGACCTCACTACTGAGACTTTTTTTTTGATACATTATATTTAAAAATACATATTTTATTTCCTGTTGTCTGATAATCCGACCCAGTTTACTATATTTGGTTGTGCATGATTTTAAAGAGTAATATTTCTATATATATTTAGATCTACAGTGTTTTTAAACAAAAAAACGAAAACATTTTAAATGTGTACGGCCTACCCTCTACGAGTCTACGGCTACGGGCCTACGGCTCTACTTACTACTAGTAGACAGGCCTACGGCCTAAGCGTAACGCGTTATGCGGTACGCATACCACTGTATTTATTAAAAAATCAAAAAAATCCAGGTACATATGTACCTATTTAGGTCAGTACATAAACACTAATTTTTATAAAAATAGTAAATACATGTGTATTTACCGTATTTATTTAAATCCGTTAAATATACGGTGATACGCAGTGCTGGCACCAATGGTCACTGATCAGGCTGACACTCTCGCAGCCTGGCTGGCCTGGCGGTCAGGCGTCAGCACCAGGCACGATCTGAAGTTCTGGATACGTCTCACAAATCATGATTCACGAAGACACGAACACGAACTCGGATGGATTTGGTCGTTATTTACTCTAATTGACAGGCAGTGTAATTTTTGCCACTTTTTCCGGTTTCTGACATAAGGAACGATTTTGTGTTGTTATTGGCCAAATTTTAATTTTGGTCCTGAGAGGAGTGGAGGTAAAAATTCCATGATTTCAAGGACCATAAGCCGAAGGCATGAGCCGCAGGCCCGCAGCCCTCATGACTATGAGACATTGAGGCATGAGACACAACTCGCACGAGTCTTTGGATTCTGACTGTGACTCCATGTACTTGATATGATGATGATGTGGGGCAGTGGGGGACAGCCGGTGGACGCCCGGCGTGACGGCGTCAGTGCCGAAGTCCGAACACTGCCAAATTGGAACAAAACAGAGTCACAGACTTTAGAGAGTAGAGACTCCTCACTCCAGTCCTCCACTCAGAGTTTACTTCTTATGTTCAGAACTTCAGTGTAAATACGAGGAGTTTTTAGGTTTCTGTTTTATGGTTTTTTTTGTTTTAGATTTCGGGGTTCAGGATGCTAGTTTGTAGTCAAACAAACAGTTTAGGCAAGTTGTGGTTTTAGTCACAAGTTTTAGGCATAAGAAGTTTCAGTCACTATTAGGCATAAGAGTGTTGGTCATAATTTTTTTAGTCCGTATACACCTAATAGTGACCTTACACCTCATATTTTTTTTTAAAACAATATAAAAAATACTAGCGCTCCTCACCACTGACCAGACTCCAGAGAGTGACCAGTCCACAATTACAACTCCGGCTTCCAAATTCAAGTATATTTTAAAACTGAAAACTCAGCCATCGGCATCAGGCGACACCGCGACAGCCCGTGAGCCGTCTGCGTCTTTGAAATGTCGAACCTGTTCTTGGTTTGATTTTGGAGCCGTGTGGAGGCCGGAGGGTTTAAGTTTTATATATTTTATAAATAAATCGAACTTGTGAACTGTGAACTAAAATGTATTTCTCTCTCTACATATCTATAAATACAACAACATCTTCAGAGTGTCTCTTAGTTCTCGGCCAATCAGCGACACCCTGGGTTTCTCAGTGGATTTAGGTCTTTAGGGTTCTGTACACCTTTTTAAATTATATACATAGGTCATAGCGCCATAGCGGCATAGCCTTCTAAAGTAATTATTTTAATATGTACCAATTTAGGACGCTACATATGATATATGGGTAGATAAATAACTACGCTTTCACACAGTCGCATCTACTCTCACGCGCACTGTATTCGTTAAAAGAAATTTACACCGACGCAGAGACTTTACTCTCACACTACTCTAGACTTTAGAGAGATACAAAATGGCCTCTGAACGGCACGACGAGCGTACGTCAATAACTCAGTATCTCATATTATATTAAAAGTGCCAACCGAGCTAAATATGCTCTGTAAGAACTAGCAGATGAGATATTGGCTATATGCATCGTTTCGCACAAGTTTATATACGCTGTAGGCAAGGCGCTCCAAGCTCTACCATCGCTTAAAAAGCTATGGACTACACAGGAAGACAATCCTTCTAAAAACTCCTATATCTCCACATGTTTATGTATTTATTTATAATAAGACTACAAATCCCCAAATCTTCACATGTTTATGCATTTATTTATAATAAGGCCGAATCATAGCTGTTGTTTTCTATCCGATCACAGAATACTTATATGAAGTCGGCAGGATTTAAACGACATGCTGCAATACAATACACAAGTAGTCTACCTTGCGAGCATGCCACAACTAACACTAAGAGGACCGACCACTCTAGTGCTGTGCAACTTTGAAAAATAATAGACGAAGACCTCCAGGCCTCAAATGGGTCTACCGTATCTTGGAGTGACATATATACATGGCATTGGCTTGTGTGTTCGAACATATATATATAGTAGCCACCCAAATACAGATTCGTTGAACAATGGGTCAGTAAAGCCTAATAGAGTACAATTACGTCCCAGTATGTTCTATTTTGATACAAATCTATATCATGGCTGTAACCAAAAATGATCGAGTGCAAGTACTTTCAAGAATATTTTATTTTACGATATAAATTCATATTACGATTGTAACCAAGGATGATTCAATGCCTGTCGTACGCAGAACCTCTGCTCAGGGTCGATCAACAGCAGGTTCTTGATCAGGTCCTTCACCTCCTGTAGTATATAATGTAGAGGATTTGAATATATACACACGTATGTGTGGTTTGCGCACTTGGTAGTGCTATAACAGAGCTGCACAAACACTATTCTGATAAAGTGCTGTTTGAAAGACACACTAATTCAGGAAGAATTATCTTGAAACTGCACGCCTTTTGGGTTAAATGGTATGCTGATGAGAATACCCACTTAACACTGAAACAATAGCGCTGCCCAAACACTTTCGGGTAGTACTATATAAAGGCTAGTGTACACACCTATACACTGCATTGTGTAAGAAGGTACGTACCTCAGACTTGGAAGTCCAGTGTGGTGCTTCGAAGGCGACCACTTGCGGCTCAAACTGTGGGAACGGTTGTGCGCCAGCAATCCTATGTAGTGGTTGGAATGGAAAAACAAAAAACAAACAAACAACGCTACATGAGCGAAGATAATGCACAATGTCTCAATACATATGTCTTCGTGCATATATCAATATAGTGAAATGACCCTGTGAAGTGGTTGAAGTAGTCCAAAAAAAAAAAAACAATCATCAAAAATTATGAGCGAAATGTGATAAGATATATTGATATATAAAAATACATACAGAATATATATACCATCTTAACTTAATATAAACTATATATACACAAACACACACTCATATACATATATATATATATATACATATATATATGTACACAGAAACACACACGCACACACAAACACACATATATATATACATTTGTGTATAATTCTAAATATTTGTAAAAACAGAGATATGTTTATACATACACAAACAAACAAACATACATACATACATGTACACACACACACACATATATATATTTGTATATATATATATATAAATATATATATATATATATTATACACACAGATTATTTGTGCATATATATATTTAAATATATATATATATATATATATATATATATGTATATATATATAATTATATATAAATAAGT